GAAAAAAAAAAAAGAAAAAGAAAAAAAAAGAAAAAAAAGACTCCCTCTGAAATGCTAAGGCCAAGAAGGCTTTGCCATGAAATACTTTGTGTCCTGTTCCAGTCTGGCTGCACCCCAGCCCAACAGAGACCATGGAATGTCTTAATAGGATAAAGCAGTCTGCAGAGCGGATGGAAAGCAGTCTCTGTGCTGATCTCGGCACCTGACCCGAGCTGGCTCCTGTTGTTCCTGAGGGCTTGCCTGGTTACCCTCCACTTGGACGGAAGAAGCAAAACAAGGCTTACGTTACTTAAACCCCATGAACATTCATGCTCAACGGGAACATTGCTCCCTCTTGGGACAGGAGTTCCAAACTGTGAGCTCCGGGATCAAAAGCCTTGGTATGAAGCTGTTCCTGTTGCAAGCAGAGCACAATCTCATCCAGAAGTGTTGTACGATCCTGAGCTGCCTTAAAGCAGAAGGCATCCAGCCTCCCACCATGAACTCTACAGCCTACCTGGGCAAGGGGCTCCTCAACCACAAGCGGTCTCCAGTGCACAGTTGCATTTTCCCTCAAAGAAAACACTCCACAGTTCACTACAGCTCACGATCAGGAGGTTCCCCTCACATTGGATGTATGTGCCATGTCATTCCTCTGGCCCACTACATGAGTGGACCTCTGGCACCATGCAGCCATAAGGTTTTATCTCCTAGAGGGCCAGATCATCATAGCTCCAGGTTATATTTGTAAGACACTTCACCTGCATCCCATGAAGAAAACCTTTACCAGGTCAGCACAGCTCATAAAGCCATTTCGTAGGTTTACTCCTGTTTATGCTAGTGGCCTGGGAAATGGGGGAAGAAAATACATAGAGAGGAAAGAACAGACCTCTCCCTCAAGGGCAGTAATTCCTGGTCAGTCATAAGTTGAGGCAACAAAGCAGACACAAGTTCCCAAAGCAAATAATCCAAAGAGCAAAGCGAGGACAGCAGCTTGCCTATCAGCTAGTCCCTTGGCAGCTCCTAACTGACCACAAAACCCACCCGCCACGTACAAAGGCTTCCAAACCTGCCAATTACCAAACAGCATGTATCCAGTAACTAAAAAAAAAGAAAAAAACCCACACAAGCAAAAAAAACCCAAACCACACAGATATTTGCTGTGGGGAACAGGAAAAGGAAAGATTTTGGCACACTCTCAAGATGTAGAGCCAAGAAATGGCCAGCTCTCATACACACCATTCCACTCCTCTTTTCTTTCTAAAGATTTAAGTACATTATTACCCCTAAAAGTCTAAGTTAAGCCCAGACCACGACAAAACTGATGAGGCTTAAGACAGCCAGTTTTAGAAACACGCTTGGCACTACCCATTCTATCCACCTATTCTCAGACTGGTCAGTTTTCATCTCCTCAGAGAGTATCTGAGAGGACAGCGGAAGGCTGGATGCCTACTGGACCTAGATTATGCTTAGAAAACCACTACTCTTTTGGAAGGTAAAAGGAGCCGTTTACTCCAGGGAAGGGGGCCCAAAACCTCAGGCCCAAATGCAGCAGTGCAGTATTTCCCCGGGACACATACTTCCGCCGATCAGTGAAGAAGTTGGGCTTGTCAGCTTGCACAATGACCATGTCGAATAAGTCCCGCCAGTTCTTGCCAACCATGTGTTTCATTCCTTTGTCCCTAAGGGCAAAGGAAGAGAAATGTTAACAGATCCAGTACTCTTTTTCACCCAACACTGCATCTTTACAACAGTCTGTCCAAAATCTACTCTAGTTTCAGTAACAGAGAAGAAAGCATAGAGATTTGTGAATCCCCCAAGGCTGTCTCATTGCATGGAGTGTTGATGTAGCACTTTGACTGTTTTAAGCTATCCCACCCTTTCTCCTGTACCATGGGAAGTCCAAAGAAGTCTGTGATGCAGCAAAAGCTGCTAGAAGTAATCCAAAGTGGCAGCTCTGTAATGTTGTGGCCAGCCACAGCCTCGTATCTTCTTCAAAAAGTGAGAGTCAATGATGTAGAGAGAACTGTGGGGTGCAACATTCACCACAACCAGTTCCCAGAAAGCACTCTCATGACTGTTGCCACAAAAACCTCTAGCGTATGACTTTCAGATGCTCACAGGAGAGACTGCACTGCACGGCTCTTGCTGTGCCGTGGTGACCCATCAATGTGCAATAACGGTACTCACACAAAGCTAAAGGGACTGTTTGTAATGAGGAAGAGTTTCTTCTTGTGGTTCACCAGTCGGTTTAGCACAGCATAGATTTCATCCCCATGCAGAATATACTGTTCTATATCGGAATAAAACAGACATCATCAATCAAAAAATGTTGGCATAAGTCATGACCACATTTCTTTAAAAACAAAACCAAACGTAGTCCCTATACCAACAGGGATGCAAAAGGCCTGAGTTAGATCCACCTCAGGCAGGCCAGTAGTAAACCACCATGGTGACAAAATGGCCTTCCTCATCCTCATCAATCCCATCTAGAGGGAAGAGAAAGACTGAAGAATTGAAAAGGCTGGCAAAAAAAGAGGGTTGATACCAAACCATCACAAGGGACAGGCACAGCCACTCCAGGCCATGTTGCTACCAGGAGCTTTCTTTCCCCTGAATGACCAGGAAGCCTTCCCAGATGGTGCCTCTGCGTGTTCACATCACGCCAAGGACCATCACCCCTTGCTTACAGGCTGAAGGAAAACAGAAACACAAGCAATGAGGTAGCCATTTCCTCCATTAAAATAGATCCTCCACCTGACCCTAAATACCACTTGGTTCTTAATGCCACTCTACCCCCCCAGCTGCCTTTAGGCATGCCACAATCAAGTATTTCATTAAGTTCTGTGTCCCCCTGACTCCTGTGACTGCGTGTAGAGCCTACACAGTCATCGTGCACAGAACTCCACGTAGATGAGACACATCAAAATGGATTTGGCACCAGAGCTCTACTTAACTCACCCATATCTTTTTCAATCCATTTGTACATCACTCCTTTCACATGTACATCTCTAATAGCATCCTAAAGAAACAGGCAGGGAAAAAAAAGGTTTCAGTTTTACATATGGCATTCCAGCAAACCTGTTGTCACCACTGAGGACCAATACAGTAATGACACATCCCCCTTCTTGCTGAATGAACAAAAGCTACATTAATGCTAAGCAGAGGACCTTGTACAGTGAGGCTCACCAACATGCCAAAAAGAAGAACACAGTGGCTAGCTCAACTGATGCAGTACAAGGGGAAAAACCTCAAAACCTATCCATGAAAGCATAGCTTCCTTCCTGCTCCTGGAAAACCAGCACATGTTAACACACTGTTACCAAGGCCAAAGGCCAAGATGCAACAAGTTTTTGGACACACCCAACTGAGACTCTTCCCAAGTTTCCATCCAATGACATACGCCAGATACACAAAAACATTTCCAGAGCAGCAACATATTTTGCAGTGTTTGCACATGCAAATGCTTGTTTTAATGGTACCGTTTTCATCCCTGACAATTTAGACAGGTATACAAATGCTGCCTTTCCCCACGACCCTTAAATCACTGTTACAGTATTGCGTGCTCCTTCAGGGGTTTCCCATTCAGACTGGATTCCCACACTCGCCACTGACATTGCTACAGTGACACTTGCACACAACACTACGCAGTCCCCTGGTCTCACTGCAGCGCTGGTGAAACCTGCTTGTCACTCCAAAAATAATTTCCTGCAAAGCTGGGACAGAACCAGAATTTACAACTTAGATGAGGGATGATGAAGGAGGAGATGACACCTCTTCAAAACAGTTTTAGGAGTCTCTTTCCACCATGTGGATTTGAACCATAAAAAGGCAGAGGTCACATCTCATTCACCAAGAGGCTGCCTCATTGGAAAGCAACTGAACAAAAAGCAAGAGCACTAACAAGAAAACAACTTTCTCTTGACCAACACTGGCACTAAAAGAAAGCAACGCTTTGCATTTGTGTCAAAACTACCTTTGCAAGAGCAGAAAGAGATTCTAGTGCGCTCCTTCCCTAAACTCTTGCCCCCCAAAAAGCAAAAGCAGCAAAAGAAAAGGGAAAAGAAAAAAAAAAAAAAAAAAAAAAAAGGGAAGAACTATAAGGTTCCTGCAGGTAAAATCTTGGTAGTCTGGGGAGGTGTCAAACAGGGCTCAAAAACTCCTCCGAAGGAAAGGAGAGTAAACTGTACGTTCTTACTCTCAAATACGAAGCGAACAAACTGGTGTGACCAGACTACTTGGTTTACATGTCAGCTTCAACCTTTACCATTGCCTCAGGGTCTACCCTTTTGACTCAGGGCAGTGTCTGCAGCACTCAACCTGTTCCCAAACACACAGCACTGCAGTCAGGACTACCACTAAGAATTAAAGAAGTGTCAGGTTTAGACATGTCTTAACCCACTGTAAGCCTGTGTTGTAATAACAGTTGGGGCTATGCAAGTCCTCTTGGACACCTGTCTGTGTAGGCACAGAAGGATCTCTGTGCTCATGTCCGCAAACTATTGCTTTGTGCTTGCACTCGGATACTGCAAAGGGATAAGTTTTGCAAAAATGTTTATCCTCATTATACAGAAAAAAGCAAGAACTCCTCTGGTGAGAGCACAGGACGGTCCCCACCTCTTCAGTATAGATGTCAGGCGTTGGCACAGATTTTCTGTTGGAACTCTCTTCTCTGCCTACCTCAGTCACTCTTCAGGAATAACCACATCCCTCAGCAAGGGATGCGAAGACAAATGCCAGGGTGAGCACTCAGGAGTTTTGGGCCTTGAGCACACTGTTTACCCTGTACCAAGTATGTATTAGGCTATGGCAACCACCCATCTGCTCTCAAGATTTCAATTAGAAACAAGTCCATTTTCACCTCAAAAGAAGGCTCAGAAGACACTCTTGACAAAAGGCCTCAGGATTCAGCTTTATCCCCTTTTCCTATTTTCCCCACCCCAAGAGCAAAAACAACTACAACTAACACCCTAGAAACATGTTAAGGTCTTGCAGGAAACTAGCTGGCACACTCTTATCAAGCACTAACAGAAGGTCAGAACGTAAGCTGTAATCCTTGGCTGCAGCAAAGCTGACAGGGTGGATCCTTATCACAAAAGCAGCAGCACAGATGTGGAGCTCCATTTCCCTCACAAGATGACTGAACAGTGTACGTATGGGCTGCTATCCGTGGATAAGCATAAGATTCCCATAAGGTACAAATCAAAAACCCCTCTCCATGGAAAAAGGCATGGCTACCAAGGAAGATGCCTCATCTGTCAACAGAAGTCACCCAGGGCAGCAATCTCAAGCACTAACATCTTGCCTACAGCGTTAACTAAGAAGTCAAACGGTACCCCCTAACAGTGCTGATAATCCCAGGCAGCCCTTCCAAACGCCAGGAGTGAAGCTGGAGGGCACAATTAGCACCTTGGAGTAACTGGCTCTTGAAAGCTACAGTCACCCACTGGAAAACACCCCAAAAGGATCAGACTACTCTGTAGCTGCAAAGGGAAGGGGTGGATTCTCAGAGCAGGCAAAGGCAGGTGTTTCACAACAATCGCTGTATAAAGCAAACTTTGGTACACGGTCAGACCAAGCCTCTTTGAAAAATGAGATATTAACAGGAAAACATAGAGCTTAAAAGTCTGCAGAACCAGAAAACATTTACACAAGCTTTCTGACATATTTCCCACGGAAGGACCTTCAACCTAACCAGCCTAGGCACATCTGCAAGAGATAATGTACAGCAACACCAACTCTGTAGTACAGACAGAAACCTAACATGTTCTGAAAACACAGCTTTGAATATTCCCTGGTAATGCTTTAATCTAAAGGGGCAACAACACTGTCACATTAGGCTACTCACTAACAGCCCCTTCGGTTTGGGTACTGCAGAGCTTACCGGTGCTAACAAGCCAAAGAGCTTGCAGTTCTGATGTGGTATGAGCTATGGGGCAGATGACATTTTACTTACAGATATATCCTTGTAAAGATGCACCTGGTCAAACTCAATGCCATGAGTTATGAAGTAATCAATGACTGAAGACAGCAGTGTCATTTCAGGAAGAGAAAAAATGTCCATAAACTGCTTAAGTGACGGACCCTGGAAAGCAAAAAATGAAGGAGACACATTAATCAAAAAATACTTAACAAAAAAAAAAGCCAACAAAAAACCTCATATAACCCAGTACCATCTGGAAGACATTCCAGGCTAACAAAAAGAAAAACACTAATGTGGAAAGTCCCAGCCACTCAGCAAGTACCCTCTCTTCTCAACCAAAACACAAACCTAATGCATTAACACTTGACAAGAGAGAGGCTTCTCCTACACAGAAATCATTAAACAAACCCAGCATCATTAACACCATGAGGTGAAGGTGGAGGAATCGGGGAGTCAGTCCTAGACACTAACTTTTATTTCAAACCCATGCCCTCTGCTTCCCACCTGGCTTCTTGGCATTACCACGGGTGCCAAGAGACAACGCTCTGCTACACAAGCAGCTATGGCCCTTGCTGGAGGTGCCCCATTGCTCATTAAACCAGGCTGTGACACTGGACACATGGGCACCAAAGCTGCTCTAACCACATTCCAGTGAGGTTTCACACAGCAATGCAAGAATCACCCCAGCAAGCAGTTTGTCTCAATGCCTGCCTGTCCTTGAGTCGCTAGGGAAAACTCAGAATGGGCACAAAGAAGAAGAAAAAGAATTTCAGCCCACCCAGCAGTCAAGTGGAAATGGACAATTAACTCCCCTTGCATTAGGCAAGGTTGCAGCTCTTCCATATGTTTGCTGGTTTTGTTGCCTATTGATCACAAACCTATCAGCAGGTCAACAGTGAACTTTGGCTCCAGAGAGGCCTTCCAATAAAATAAAGCTTGTTTATTCAGTATGTACCACCTGTGCAGAGGACTATGGTGAGTCTCACTGGCAAGCTGAAGCTGGAATCAATTTTTTCATTTTTCATCGCTGAAGTGCCAGATCAGCCAAGGGAACCGTTACTAAGGTCTTGTACATGAAAAGCAATCTGGGAGGTACACAGACATCTCAATGAACCCAGTCACCAGAGATGTCCTGGCAATCCAGTCAACATCATGCCTGTGCATGTGAGCTTTGAGCAATCCATGACTGACAGCCGCAAAGTTGCAACTCTCTAGGATAATACTGGTCCACATCAGAAGGCATTGATTATAGCTATGTAAAAGACAGACATAAAAGCAGCATCTTAAAGATCACAGAAGGTACACATGGTGGAAACTGACAGAGGGCACAAGCTTCCTAATGACAAACATGTGCCACTGTCATGTCAGGATGTAACAGCAGTAACATCTCCCATTTAGTCTGGTCTTACAAAGGTAGAACAAGAGACTAGCACTCTGTTTGCAGCACTATCTAAAGGCAATATTGGGACAACACACATTGGGTTGAAGAAAGAAGATGCAAAAGGGCAAAGGAATAACAAACAGCATTTTGCCTGAGGTCTGTTACCAAAAAATGCTGCGATCAAAAGCTATGTTGGTGTGCTGAGGGTTGTACAATTTCTGTCCATCCACCCAGCACAGGACAACTTGACCTACAGCAGAAGAGAACACAAAGAAGAAGAGAACACACCCTCTGGTTTGGGCCGCATATCGCACACAATGGTGCTGTTTAGCGATACTCGCTGAATCCTTTTCAACAGATTTTTGTCCATTTTGATGTGTGGCTAAGGGAACATTTCTCCCATTAGCAAAACCAAAATTTCCTGAAAACATCCCCCACCTTTTTTCCTGTTCAGGGATTCTGGGAAAGAAGCAAGAGGGACACAGACAGACAGTTCCTGCT